ACACACACACACACACACACACACACACACACACACACACACACTAATGCTTGTGAAACTCTAGTCTTTGTCCTTGAGAGGGAAACACAACTTTCATTAAGCAGAATAATGAAAACATAATTTGCAGCTTCTGTATCCAATGACTTTAGGAGTCTAACAAGAAAGAAAACTACCTTTAAAGCCTGTGAAAACTTCTAATCTTTTTCTCGGTAGCATTGACCGTTCATGACTAAACAAGTGACAAATAAACATAGTCAGGTGTTATTTAGTAAGATTTCAACACTCTGCTTCATCAGGACCGTGAAGCAATGGCAAAATAAGCAAACAACCCAACAACTGTCTCAAATGTTAAATTCTGATTGGTGCACCCAAGTATGACACATTTTTTCAACTGAGCTCAGCCCATTTAAAAGCAGTGAGAAGAGAACAGACAGAATACAGAAACCAGAAATGAATGTTGACGTCTAGGGTTCAAAATGGATGCAGCAGGGGCTAACCATCACCCTCAATATGCTTTACATTAGAAATGTGTCGTACAAGAATGATCAACAATGAATCAGTTGGTATCAGTCGAGTAATATTCTCAGATTTTAGAAAGCTCCTCCAGATGTACGGCACCCCTCTCACTTTTCTTACTTATCTTATTAGCATGAAAGCTGAGACAAGCCGTCAGTATTAGTGTGGAAATGTGGCATCATCTGACAGACGTCTCTGTAAAATATTAATTGGGTTTGCATATCTCAACTCTGATGTTTCCCTCATGGTGACACTTTCTGTAAATGATGCGACATCTTCCTGGCGGGCCATCTGTCTGCGTACATGGAGGTGTGTTGCGAGAATGAGACTCATAGAGGCCGTCTGAAAACTGACTTGTCTTTTTGAGCGTCTCAAGATATCTGTAAAAACAGGCTCCTCCTCTTCAGACCAGTTGTCTCCATCCTTCAGTTCACCGTCTGTAGGCCCCTCGGGCTCGGTGCTGTTCACGGAGCACCCTGGGAAACACACACATGCACAGAGTAAGTGAGAGTAAAAGTGGCTAGTCATCAGTCCAGGGATGGATGTAACTATGTATTTTAGTCTACTGATCTGCAGAAGAAATCAATATTACAAAGCCGGTGGAGGAGAGAGGAGGAAGGGGGAGAATATAACTGGCCAAATGGGAGAGAGAGAGGGGGAGAGGAGGCAGGGAGGGAGGAACGGTAGGGGTTGGGTAACAGGAAGGAGGAGTGTCAGGGACAAAGAGGAGAGGTAGCAAAGAGGCAGCCATATTAGACATTTAGTACAAGGGCGAGGAGGGCAGCTGGAAAACCTGAGGAGGACGCTGTATACTGCAGTGTGTGTGTGTGCGTGCGTGCGTGCGTGCGTGAGAAAAATCAACCAAAACTTGCATTACATAACACTTGATTGTTTTAGATCCATGCAATGTCAAGGACAAGACTGAACATGTCATCTTCAAACAAGTAGCGGCAAGCAGCCTTTTGGCTCATCAGTAACAAGCTGCATCCTGCCGGGTTTCATCAAATCTAATCTGTTAACAACAAAGTTTTGCCAGAATCAAGACAGTGTGAGAAGTCTATAATTTGTAGTATAGCTGGATTTGCACAGCAGGTATGGTGTCACTTAGGATAATGAATCAGAGGGTGAACCAGACAGGGATTTTGTATTCATCAAACCTTTATCATTGCATCAGGAGGGACTAAAATACTTTTGGTTGCAGGGAAAAGTAACTGAGGAGTCTCGGGTGTGCAGTTTTACGATGGTCCTACCTGGACAGGGAGGTGGGAAGAGGTCAATGTCCGGCATACGATACACAATGTGGTCGTTCTGCTCCTGAACGCCGTCCTTAAAAAAACATAAACAACAGTGACAGACACACTCGAGAGAGAGAGAGAGAGAGAGAAATAAATTGCTTTACTATTTGACATTACTTTATTAAAATTAATGTCACTGAGTTTAGAGAAAAAAAAAGAGTTTTTACGTTAGAACTTATTTCCTGAGCTCGTTTTAAAATAATGACTCAACTTAACGCAACTTTAATTGCCTGAATCTTCTTCACATCTTTCTTATTTCGGAAGATTTTAACTGTAAACGCTTTGAGTTCAGCATCCATGTTTGTCTGAACCGGAAAGAGAGATACAGATATGAAAATTGAATTTAAGTAAAACTTCACCTCAAGCCAAACGGAAACCTTAGTCAGACCTCAGCAGACAGTGAATCACATTATATAGTATTTAACATTTGTATACGTTTTCAATAACACGTGCATAAAACTGTTGTTTTATTTAAGTTGTGATGTATCATGTATACATCTGTTTGAAATGGCTGGTTTACTTATTCAAGATAATACAATGCATTATCAGGTTGGTCATTACTTAAAAAGTGGTTCCCTAGAATAAAAGTGATGCAGTGATGCTTATTGTCTAAAATTCTCTTTGTGTATTTTTTTTTCTGTGGTCGTTTTTATGAAAGAAAATGTACCTTTTGGTTATTTTTGGTAGAAGTGAAAACATTTTTTCAAGCAATGAAATCACCTCGTCTCATCCTAAGCTTCTCTGTGTGAAAAAGCGCTGCCGTGTCCTCTGAAGTGCAGATAGTTCAACGGGAAGGAAAGTGCTCTGATGCATAATTAATCAATCATTGGGCTGTCATAGTGGCAATAACACTGCTGGACACTGTGGTGCACTTGAGCTCGGGATGAATACTTTATGAAAATGAGCCATCTGAGGTAGAGCCGAGGAGAGAGCGCGAGGAGGGAGTGAAGGATTTTAAAGATGAGCTGGGAGGCTATTGATCCATCTCTCCAGTCTATGTAATAAAGCTGTACTTCGATTACTGGTGGTCCTTAATGGGAAAAAAAGCTCTGCCTCTTCCACTCTAAACACTTTCTCCCCACTCCCTTTGGTCACTCTCCTTTACTTCCATTTCTTTTTAATACTAGATCTATTCTACAATCAAATCAGAGCATTTTTTTAAAGATCTAAAAAGCTTCCTTTGTATTCATTAATTTGAAATTCCTCCTCTCTCTCCCTGCATCTTTGTGAGACGATGTCTCCCTCAGATATGAGACAGGAGATGTGTTTCAGTGGTGGTGGATTGTGTGTCAACTCAATACCTTCCATACAGCAGCTCAGAGATAGAGTAACACTGTCTGGACTAACGGTAAGTCATTGACACTGGAGAGAGAAAGTGAGACTGTTGGTGACTTTTAACCATATTTTGTTAAACGAGTTTGAACGATTGCTGCCAGTTTTGGGAGATTTTTTTTTTTTTGTCACAACCTTGTTACTGCCTCAGTTTGATGCCAAGAAATTTGATATGCGTGTGTTTACTACTAATTATACTAGTTGATACTCACTGCTAGGCTTCTCCTCCCTAAAGTTCTGACTCACCTCTCCACTGCCAACAGGTTCAATCCCGTAGGAGAAGTTTCCATCAGAAAACATCCCCCTGAAAAAAACAAACACAGCGGCATGTTAGTTTGTCTGTGGATGTTTGTGTGAGTCTGTGTTGTTGTTCTTTTAATTTAGCCTCTACCAGCACGTTGTGTAAATGTAGTAAGAACTCTGCTCATTTTTAAAACCCTGCTGTAAGATATTATTTATAGTATTTTAAAAGTAATATTTTGAGATTTTGGGGATGCTTGTTCGCTTTCTTGACATGACAAAGAAAATAGGCTTACTTGTCAAAATGTCGAACTATTCATTGAATTGTTTTACGTGTAATTTTCTACTTATCTAAAAGAGAAAATGGATTTTTTTTTTACTTGTTGATGCTTAATGAGCCGTCGAATGTGTTTTATGCAAATTTAAAGCAAGTCTTCAAACATTAGAACCACTTAAAACACCAAACTTTGGGTCCTGACTGAGACTAGATTCTAAGTGGCACAGTGTTGGACTCACCGTAGGCCGTGGCAGGTGGACAGAGCAGCCCAGGAGCCCGGCAGCCCTCGCACGCGGCCATGGTAATAGCAGTGCTCGCCTCCCTGGAAACAAACCATAGATGACAGTGAGACACTGAACCCTCCATCCAGTAAACATGTTCATGTCACATTTCAGAGAATGAAACCAACACTGACTGTGAACCCCCTGATCTCCTGGCCTCTAAACAGGCCAGGTATTTACTGTCGACCTGATGGGATCGACTGAAAGATATCAGTGACTACTGTCAACTTAGCGTCTGAGAAATCCTACACCTACAGCGGCTGCAGCTGAGTTTAGTTTCACTGAGGAAAAGCTGTGTGTGTACAGTGTGTGTGTGTTTGTTTGGGTGATGGGGAGATCAATTTAAGGACAGGGGTCAAATGGGAGAAAACAGTGATGGACTCTGGTTTCAATGTAGAGTCAAGTCGGTGTAAGGACGCACTCTTTTCCGTCAAACAACACAGATTTTCAGAAGTAAGTCAGTTGTGTGCATGCATTGACCATGAAATTGTATTAAATTGTATTGTAGTAAAGTATTAAAACTCATTGTTTTGATTTAATGAGTGAATTTGGCAACAAACTACACAATGGCAACAATTTCAGTTTCCTGCAGCACAAAATCAAAGAACATCCGAGTCGTATCTCAAGGTTACAGTGTGTGCAAGTTGATACCGACTTGACACTAGACATCAGAGGACGACTGTGCCTCTCGCCTACGTGTTTTTAAGTCAGCAACTCTGTGGAGAGCTCTTTTAATATCTAGGATAAAATGACAAACTTTCCTTTCAGTTTGGCAGAACTGCTGTAGGGTGTTAACTGTACAACTCGCCTCCAGAGAACTTCACCAGATTCTTTATAATCCCCTGAAAGGCTTCGACTGGATGATCATGTTTTGAATATAGTGTTTCCACACTGTCTCTCACAGTACAGGAACGATCCGATTACAACAATTGGAGAGGAGCCTTGCCGACAGTCAAGCAGCACCTGCATGTTTAAATGTGTGAGCTAGTATAAATTCAGACAGAATTACACTCAGGAAGGATTTTTTTATAATCAAGCAGGATTCATTTTAGTGGATGGAGATTACAGTGGAGTGTGTGTGTGTATGCGTGTGAAAGAGAGGGTCAGTTTCAGGGTTCGTAATGAACCCCAATAAGTAATATCTGCCACCTGAGCCTGTTGTTGTCTGACACGGCTGATGGACCAAAAAGAAAAAGAGGCAACGTGGATACGCTGCTCTTTATGCTTGGTCAACCTTTACTCTGAGCTGCCACTTAAACCTGAACAAATCTCCTGGATGACCTGTCCAATCATGGTATGACCTCGCAAAAATATTCACCTGCTTCTGTGCATTAAGAGGCTTCATCACTGGATCTAAAATGGATTACTGTACTGGGTTCACAGGGAGGAGGATTTTAACAATTGAGATGGGATCTGCTTCAAACTAAAACTAGAGGCTTTTTCATCCATCACCAGGTGGGAGTCCAGCGCCGGCTTTAAATGAATCTGTGTCCCAAACATGATGTGTTCGATCTCAGAGGACACACAGTGCTGGTTTGCTTTTTATTACATTTGGGAGGAGGTAGTGTTAATGCATTTTGTCTGTTTTGGTGTTTTACACTGATCTGATTACACGAAGGAAGCTGTTAAAAATTGCAAACCTTAAAAGGCTTTAATTGATTTTACACCAGTTCCACGTGACAAAATTAAGGGACGAGGCCTCCACTTACTGACTGGTAAAAATATGCTTCATTCTTGATGAAATCAAAACAAAAGTAAGCATCAAAGTCACTACAACCGCCCTCCTGCAATTGTAATTGGTCAGACATTTATCTCAATTCCTCTTATTTATGTAGGATGTAGAGGTCACAAGCAATATCTCCACAAAAAGATTCATTACAAGTACAAAAACACTAAATACAAATAAAAATATACATAACTTAAGAAGTGATGCATGTCTAACAAGTAGCTAAAAATCATAATCCACTATTTTTCATGGAGTTTATTTTAATTCAGTGCCAGTTCATCTGTTGAGGAAGATAAGGACTTCAATCATTCATACCGAATAGTGAGACAGCCCACAGCACTTAGTCCAGGGCAAGATAATAAATAAATAAAAAGGTAGGATTACAAGGCTAAATGGAGGAAATCTAATTGCCTAACACAGCAGACACACACCGACTGAGTGTGCTTTTCAGCAAGATTTATGTACTTCAAATAATGGCCACTCACACACGCAAATAAAACCATGTTGAATAAGAAAATCATGGATTAAACATGAAATATCACCAGGGACAGGTAAGCAGGACACTACATTAGAAGTAAGTGACTATAAGTTTGAAATAGAAACTGCTTGCAAGCACAAATAAAAGGCAAATAGACAGTTACGTCCCGGAGAGACAAGATTAAATGTGACAGTAGAAACTAACGGAATTAGAAAAGCTGGAGTTTACTTGCTGTCTGGACTTTGACTCAGCATTGTTGAGCTGAGAGGACCGGCGGAAAGGTACTGAAACAATAGGAGCTAATGTAAAGTGAAAGGAAGACTAGATGGAACAAAAGAGTCAGTGAGGAATATTAGATGCCATCAAAAAGAGTTTGTTGGCGCTCAAAGAGCACTCAAAATTTAGAAATTTCAGAAAATAAAAAGTAAGGAATTGAAGTGCGAGTATTCAGCGGCACAATAAAAAAATGTATACAACAGCTCCTATCAATCCCAGCACATCCTCGTCACTAATTCAATTCCTCTTTTAGTCGCGTGTCATTGAGATTCAATCCGACCGAGCCGGTCACCAGCTCAACGCAAGAGCATAGATCCACAGGGACCAATAAGAAAAAGTGACATTCAAAGCAAGAGGAATTTATTGGCACGTCAATGAAACTAAATGAATAAAAGGTGGAGATGGTGGGGGAGTGGGAGGGGGCTACATACACCGGGTTCTCAGTCCAATATGCAGAGAATTAAATGTCCATATAAGCATTTTCTGCATTGCTATTGTGTAATGATCGCTCTTGAGAATAAAAAAAAGCACCAGGACTTCGCTTCCAAAACATCTTACTAATTTATAGTTTGTCAAAATGAGTCTTCATACAAAACATGCATCAACATTTATGTTTTATAATTGAGCTCTTACATAATCTGTATCTATCTTTTTATATAATATTGGTAGAGAAATAATGAAATTCATATTTGTCCACCCCTGCACACATTGTCCCTTGATTTGTTTGGTTTAGACCTTTGCAAATAAACTCATTAATTGCTCAATATTACACATCTGGTTCCAGAGGACAGGCCACACTGTGGTTGTAAGATTTGGTTTAGTTGGTTTCTGTAAATGGACATGATTTGAATTCCCCTCACGACACAATAGACCCACACTGCTGCTGCTGCTGCTGCTGACTGCTAGTACCCATGGAAACCATGTACTGATTGGTCAGGTGGTCGTTGGCAGAGATAAAGAGAGTAAAAGAGAGACAGAGAGAGATAGAGAGAGAAAGGGACAGAGACTAAAATAAAGCAGAGGTTACAGACAGAAAGAGGCCATCTCTACCAGATGTTCTTGAGTCTAGTAAACAAACTAGACTATAATATTATTATAGGACAGTTTGCTCAATTTCATAAGGCACAACAGAGAGGATGACATCAACAATTCAATCAGCAGCCAGAGAGCTGTCTTTGGACGCAAAAGATTCAGAATGATGTGCGGATTGATTGGTGGAAGAAACCAGAGAATGCAGCAAAAAGCGGAACATCTTCATAGCAGTTTACACAAGCCCCTATACATTCAAAAACATTTTAATTTCAATTCATTTCTGCCTGAGTTGAAGGATAAAAACGCACTGCTGCTATTGGTTCAGGGGGATACACCCATTCATGTTCTAACACACACTGGACATAAAAGCTACACTGTGGTATGCATTTGCACACAATCAATTTATATCAAATAGGCTATTCAATTCTGATAGAAAAGAGGATGCCAGCATTTCTCAAAAGTTTATTTAAACGACATTTTGGGAAACACGCTTATCATTTTCTTCAGAGTTGGATACGAAAATTGATACCACTCTCGTGTTTGTATGTTAAATATGACGCCACATCCATCAGCTGATTAGCTTAACTTAGCACAACTACTGCAAACAGCTGGCCCTGGTTCCGTGCAAAAGGTACAAAATGATCAAATCAAACAATAAAATGTGTTAACTAGTGAGGTTTAGAGGTGCTTTAAGGTAGATTTTGTTACGTTTGGACATAACCACACGAGCAGTTTTCCCCGTTTCCAGTCTTTACGTTAAGCTAAGCTAACCTTCTGCTAGCTTTCGCGTCGCATTTACTGGACGCTAATTTATTTTCCCTAGGATGGCGAAGTCATAACCCGCCCTACTGTGCCTCTGATTGGCTAGTTCTCAGTGCCTTCGTTGGTTGGGTTGGTTGGGTTTAGGCATGAGGAGTGAGACTGGTTAGGGTAAGAATATCAGGGTAAGCCAATCAGAGGCAGGGTAGGGCGAGCCATGCCTTTGCAAAGAAAGCAAACAAGCGTATTTCCCAATAGGTCAAACAATTTCTATGAGATTCTATAAGAGACTTACCATATTCTGTGACAGCTGCCCATTCTCATCATAGTGACGCTCCACATAGTCTGTAGAGAGCAGATTGCTGGAAAAAAAGTGAGAAAAGCATTAATCACTCGAACACATCCTGAAACAATAATTGTTTGAAAAAGCAAGATTGCAGCACTGTGTGATACTGGCACCAATTATGGGTCATTATTCTAGACAGCCATTTAACAGATTAACATTACAAGTCAGACATTATGACTTGCATGAGTCTAGATCAACAAACGGGTGATTCATAAGTAAAAAACTAAATGTGTGAAGATTCATTTATTCTAAGTGTTCAGTGAAAGGTATTAGATAAACGCAGACCATTATAGCAAAATGTGTGGGGTGAGAAGGGGG